ATTATTTTGAAGGGGATAACATAATTTTGGATGAATAAATGAATATTTTTTTATAAAAATGAAAAGTCACCTTACTTTTTGATCACACCTCGTATATGGGAAAGCCCTTGAAAAACTTATCGCGTTACATATTTGCATCTTACAGAACAACATAAAGTAAATACGCATATAATCCAACCAAAATATTTTATATCGAAGTGAAAAGATTCTGGAAAATCTTATATACATTCGCTTGTAGGTATTTTATACAGATAATTTCTGTAAAAGAAAAATAATAGGAATATGTGGCATTATCGACACTCACTGTATCAATTTTGAAGCCCATTTTGTCGGACGCTAATTTTTGCTTATCTTACAAAAAAATTAATTATCGCCAAATTGTAAATAGTATTATAAAAACTGCTTATATTATATGATAGAAGACACTTTTTAGTTTGTATTTATGTATTTAAAGTTTTATCTTTACCTTTTGTTTAAGAAATATTGTCTAAAAACAAAGTGATATGTCGATATCGGCGACCTTCCCTTTTACAGCCTTTGAAGAAATATTCAGCATTAAAATACTTTAAATGATTTAAAATTTATACATTTCAGATTACCTTTCAATCTTTCAATCACGATTACTGATAAATTGTAAGCTGTCATTTCAGTAAATATATATTAATATCCAATTATAATCATAAAAGAGTCGGATTAATTAATAATCTCTTTTCGAAACGACACATGTACTAATCGATACCTATTAATCGATATCATCTTATCGAACCCACAGTGTAAATATATCCATCAGCAAGCTATAAAAGAATCGTCAATGAAATGACAATGGAAAATAATACGGATCTTATCAACCGTGAAGATGACTTTGCCGACGATTGCAATTCGTGTGTGAAAAATAATTATTCTCAAATTTTATCGTCGCGTTTACATTTCGTAAATATATTTAAGCTCATTTCCACCAATGTGAGATTAACTTTAATTTCTGTGTTCAAATCTTTATCTTTTTCTAATTTTAAGAATTTTCTAATTAGAAAAAGATAAACGGTAAATTCAACGGAGATTAAATTTCTCACATTGATGTAACCACACGGAGAGAATTTTTTCTTAGAATTTACCCTGAAAATATGACAATCGTGGGACAACATTGTATTTCGAAAAATTTTGATATAAATCTCTCTCATTCATTAATAAAACTACAATAAAGTATAAAATAAGTTTGATTAATTTTACTGAAGTGCATGGTAAAAATCTTTAAAACATTGTATTGTACCACAATCACCATATTTTCAGGGTAAATTTTAAAAGAAAATTCTCTCCGTGCAGATCTCTTAATACTATATATATTCAAATAAATATTTATTAAAATTTAGTAAAATTTTTTCAGTGCAGTTGCCATTAATAACAGAAAGTTATCCTGTACCTAGCTCTAAAAAAGAACAAAATATTTTTGGATTTTGCGTAAATCTGTAACACATTTAATTCCATCTTAAAAAATCATTTTAAACTCATGTACTTTTGTGTGTAGTGTATCCCACTTTATTGGCGTCCCTCGCATCACATTCAAATTACACGCTCTTCGCCGATGAGCATGGGATGTTACACATAATCGACACCAGCGAACCTGCAGTACTTACACAAGCAGAATATGAGGAGATCAGCTATGCCACTTTCCAAACCCAATTTCTGTTATACACTCGGTAAATATGTATGAAAAGCTGACGAAAAAATGCAACAAAGATTCTACAAGCTTCTAACGCAAAATCGATCTTTCTCCATAGAAATAATCGGAAAGTCGGAGAGCCACTGATCATTAATGATAATGACAGTGTGGAGAAGAGTTCTTGGAATCCTACTCATCCTACTCGTATTATCACTCATGGATGGCGAGGAGACATAGAAGCTAAATCTGCTTGCGCCCTGATTCGGGACGGTAGGACACTATCAATCTTAATAACTTATATACCTGGATTCTTGCTATTTCCAAGATCAATCCGTAAGAGGAATGTATTTTTGTTACCCTAAAGAAACATATGACTCCTAGAAGAAAATAAAAGTAATAACAAAAAAAACTTTAATTGGAGTGAAAAAATGCTCGTATATTTTCAAAACAAATTAAAACAGAGTCGTGGCTTATTTCGAGGTTATAATTAGACTGATTTTAAATTAATACAAATATTATAAGAATGTAAATACTATAATACATAATATTCTAAATACAAATAATAAAACAATATAAAAATACAAAAATACAAACGTTTCGACTTACAAAGCCTTCTTCTTTGAAGAAGAAACGTTTGTATTTTTGTATTTTTATATTATTGTTTTATATATTATTTGTATTTAGAATATTATGTATTTACATTCTTATAATATTTGTATTAATTTAAAGTCTGTCTAATTATAAGCTCGAAATAAGCCACAACTCTGTTTTAATTTGTTTTGAACAAAATAAATTATTTATTATTAGTTTTATTTTCTTCGAGAAAATTTTTCAAATTCAATTATATATTTTTAATCTATGGTATATAAAACTGTTAAAAAAACAAAGATAAAATATTATTGATAAATTTATTGCTCCTAAATTTTGCTAGATATAAACACGCGTTAAATATTTTTTCAGAAAACTATTTTTTTTAATTATTTCCACAACAAAAATTAAAACCCATATGTTCTAGTTACAAATTAATATGATTTTCTATTCCTTCAGCTTTAAATTTCTAAATTATTAATCTCTGTAAATTCTTTAAATTTAATTTTCTCTGGTTTCCTGATTTTTTAATACAAAATCCTTATTCTCTCTCCTCGTTACTTTCTATTATCTGATCCTTCTGAATTCCTTAAATTCTCAAACATAATTTGAATTTCTGAACTCCCAGATTCCACGCATCTCTCGTTTTAGTGCTCCGTGTTTTAGGCAACTAATTTCTAGGTTATTAATATTTCCTCTTTGTTATCCTCAGCTTATCTTAGCATTGGCGATTATAACGTCATCCTGATCGACTGGAGCAAGGCAGCCGGATATCTATGGTACTGGAAAGTCGCGAGGAGTGTGCCATTAGTGGCGGAACGCGTGACACAATTGATAGATTTTCTACAGAGCCAAGCTGGTTTGGATCCTTCCAAGACCAAAGTGATAGGGCATTCTCTGGGAGGACATGTCGTCGGTCTCGCCGCTCGTAATGCAAATGGCGATATCGCTGAGGTGGTAGGTGAGTTCAATAAATATCATTGACAAAAAAAAAAAAAGAAAACAGTTTAAAAATAAATAATGTAATTAAAATCTTTCAAAACTTTAAAAAGAAAATTAAAAAATAAACATTAACTTTCTCGAAAAAACTGCGTGAAAAACAAAATAACGGAACAAAGAATTGCAATAAATAAAAACGAAACAAAGAAGCTTTTTAAAATATTGGCTTTCTCTGTTAATTTTTCTGCTAAAAATCTCTCAATTCGAGAACCGATAAAATAGAATTTAATTTGCAGCTTTAGATCCTGCAAAACCCTTGTTCGATTCGAAAGGACCGGCAGAAAGAGTAGATCGATCAGATGCAGCTCGGGTGCAAGTGATTCACACGAGTATTCTGGGTTTAGAAGAACCGATTGGTGATGCCGACTTTTATCCAAACGGTGGCAAAAGCCAGCCGGGATGCGGTACAATTGGTAAATAAGCTCGCTCTCGAATATCGAAATCAACATCGCTTACTCATTAATTAACGTGCTAATTAATTCACAGCACTCACATGTGCGCATGCGAGGTCTTACGAGTACTACGCTGAGTCCATCCTGAATCCCACGGGCTTTCGCGCCGGGAAGGTGTTCATGGGTGGACCATCCCTCGATCCAAAGTGAGTACAATGTCATCGTAATATAAACAGTCATTCTTTTTGAAAACACAACATCATCCATTATCCACTCGTGCAAGTTGGCCGAGACGTTAATTGATTCATTTATTATTTGTGTCATTTTCAGCGCATGTGGAGAGTATATTTTGGAGACTGCCGAAAAATCACCGTTCGGACTCGGATAACAGACACTGTTACAATAGACACTGTTATTTATTTTTAAATTGTACATATATATATGTATACATATATATATCTACGATATTAAAATAAACTTTTTACCAACATTCTGAATCCTCTTGAATGATTTATCATGGAATAATCAACATTTCGTTCATGACTTAATACATAGTTTCCCTTTAAAAATGTGTCTAATAAAATTCAATTATAAAAAATTATAATAAAATCTTCAAATAATATTTTATACCAAAGCAAATATAAACTGCATGTAAAATTTTTTTTTAATATTCGACATAAACAATGTAAAGTATTTCAAATTACATTTCAGATTACAAGTCTTTTAATCAAGATTATCAAAAATTACAAGCTGTCTTTTCTATAAATGTACAGGATATCCCAAAATTCGTGAATTAATATATCACAGTAAGAAAGTTTCAAAAAAATAAGTTATAAAAGTATTTGTCATTTATCCTTCTAAGTAGTAACTAAGTAAAGTGAAACGTAAAGGTTAAAAACTATTACTCGAAACGTTAAATGGCGAACACTTTATAACTTAATTTTTACAACTGACCAATTCTACATTACGTACAAATTACCCTGTTTAACTGTAATCTATAAATGGTTTTTAATCTTTAAATGGCCTCGTTTAACTGTAATCTATAATTGTTGTTTAACCTTATGTTTCAAAAGTTCTGCTCGGAACAATAAATAGTAGATTCTTTCATAACTTATTTTTTTCGAGAACTTTATTGCTGTAATATTTTAATTCGTGAATTTTGGGACACCCTATATGCTAACATGCAACTGTAATCATAAAATGTCTGGGATTAATTAATCTTTTTTTTTTTAATGACACATTAATTGATTCTTTTTAATCATCGTCTTATCGAGGACATTGTGAAATATCCGTTGAGAAGTTACAAAAAAATCGTTCACAAAACGGAATTCTTCAACGGATTGTGTCGACTACTCGAGAAGATGATTCCATCAGTGATTACAATCCGTACGTAAAAGATCGTTATTCTCAAATTTTACAGTCGCGCATTCATAAAGAAAATATTGTTTCTTAAATTAATATGGTAAATATGGTACTGTCTAATATTGATATTTGATAATGTTGATATTGGATTATATTTGTAACTTATCAAATTGCATTCGCGAAAAAAAATACTTTTTCGATCTCGCATCTTCGTGTGTCAAACAAAATTATTCTTCATACAGTTACATAGTATTCATATTAGAAAAACTATCTTTTTATTAAAGTTGCATCACACTTCCATTCTCAATCATTACTATATCATCATTGTTATCAACAAAAAAACTTTTATTCTATCATGCCATTAGATTTCAGAATACTTGAAATTATCAGAATAAAAGTTCTGTTTATACTACTGTTTTAAATATAATAACTTATATTTAAAACAATTTCTCTCGAAGAAAAAAGATACCGATTATAACCATTACTTATTATTTATAATCTTTTTTAAATTAATCTCCATTCAAATTTGATTGATCCCTGATTTACATTAGCTATTGATATCATCAACGGCTTATTGATTACGCCATTGAATAAATATTACATTAACTTACATCGTTAATACCATATAAAAATTAAAATTGCTTTAAAGATGATCGCTTCGATCGTAATTACATTATGCACCTAAAGAATCAGTGATCTTTGAATTTTGCAATTAAGTATTTGTAGAAAAAAGATTAAAGTCATAGATTTGCGGTTAGATAGTCGAGAAAAACAAATATTAAGATTCTTGGATTCGTGATAATGAAAGAAAAATTATTTTTTAATTGCATAAAAATCTGCAACGTATTTAATTTCATTTTTGAGAAATATTTTAAATAAATCGACAGATGCCTTCTACTTGCAGTATATCCTTCTTTATTGGCGTCCATTACGACGAATCTTAACTACACGAATGATATCAACGATAGTGGAACACTAACTCTGAGTGATATCAACGAATCTGAATTCATACTGAACATATTCAATACAATCTATAAAGACGCGCAAAAAACCACATTCCATTTATACACTCGGTAAGTACATCTAAAATACAGACGCAATATCGTATCGTTAATTACTTTCACATTAAACTCTCCCTCTCTAGAAACAACCCAGAAATTGGAGAGCAGCTATTCATCGACGATCTGGATAGTATTAAGAAAAGTTTTTGGAATCCTGATCATCCTACTCGACTGATCATTCATGGATGGAAAGGAAATTGCGAGTCAACCATTTGCACTGATATTCGAGACGGTATAGAATCATTATAAATCCCAGTTGTTTCTGTGAATCCTTTTCTGGAGCCTTAATATAATTTTTACTTCTCTCTTCCTTTCTCTCTCTCTCTCTCTCTCTCTCTCTCTCTCTCTCTCTTTCTTTACCTCCATATACCTTATTTGTAAATTTTTTATATTTTGTCTCGAATTTTTTATCTCGAATTTGATATTCTTTGATTTCTTGACTTCCCTTCTCTTTCTAAAAACATAGAATTATTCCTTTATTTTCAATTTTTTTAAAAATTTTCTAAAATATTTTTTTTACAGTTCTCAACCTTAATTTAGATATGTTATGTAATATCCTTATCCTTAAACATAAATTATTTTAATGTCTCGAGCCATGGCGATTAATTTACATTCTAACAAACAATGCTATCACGTCAATATCCTTAGCTTATCTCAATGTTGGCGATTACAATATCATCCTGATCGACTGGCGGGCAGCAGCCAATCATTTGTATTCAAAATCCGCGAGAAGTACGCCAATTGTGTCACAATACATAGCCCTTTTGGTAGATTTCCTGGAGAACAATGCAAGTCTCGATCTTGATAGAACCACAATAATTGGGTATTCATTAGGAGGGCATATCGCCAGTCTCAGCGCTCGTTTTGCGACTGGCAAGATCAGGGAAGTAGTTGGTAAGTCCAACGACGAAGCTTTCGATTTCCTATTTAACTATCTTGATCCTAAATTGAAACAAATTTCTCATTTACAGCGTTAGATCCTGCAGGGCCTTGTTTCGAATACAAAGAACCAGGAGAAAGAATGGATAAGACAGACGCGATTTTAGTCCAAGTAATACACACCTGCATAAAGTATATGGGCATAAAATCAGCGATCGGCACTTCCGATTTTTATGTCAACGGCGGCGAGGAGCAACCAGGATGCGGTCCAATCAGATGGATCGGTAAATAAAGTTCATCAACATCAGTTAACATCGCTCACATTGATCATCATTAGTTAAAAAAATAATTAATTCATCCACATTCGCAGGCAATTTAATGGCAATAACATGCGCGCACATGCGAGCTCTTGAGTACTACATCGAGTCCATCCTGAATCCTAGGGGCTTCCGCGCCGGCAAAGTGTTTATGGGTGGACCATCCCTCGATCCAAAGTATTGGATTTTAATATAAAATAAATATTCTTTTTTTTTTTAAACAAAGCATCATCCATTGTTTACTTGTGTAAGTTGACTAAAACGTCAATTAATTCATTCATTGTTTGTGTCACTTGCAGTGCATGTGGAGTGTACGTTCTGGAGACTGCCGACAGATCACCATTTGCACTCGGATAACAGAACAATATGGATAACAGAACAATAAACACTATTGTTATATGTTTAATATTTTTTAATTATACTCATATAGCATATGAGCTTACAACAATATTGCTGCAATGTTACCGCAATTATTGCTGAGACATTATAATGTTGCTGTAATATTGCTGGAATGATCTATACTGTATGGGCATATGCGTTAAAAAATTACGAATGTTCTGAATCTCTTTGAATATTAATGGAATGATCAACATTTCCTTCATAATTCAATACAGTTTAAAGTTGCACCTCACTTTATTGATCTTCAATTCTTACTATATTATTACTGTTATCAATAAAAAAAAACTCTTACTTTATCATGCCATTAGATATCAGAATAATTAAAATTATCAAAACAGAAGTTTTGTTTATACAAGTTAAAAAAGAAAAGACTCATAAATCAGTAAACAATAATGCCAATCAAAGCCAAACTAAGGTAAACGTATATAATTCAATTTTATCAATGTAATACAACAAAGTTTTCAACGTTTTGGATCCTTCTCTTTGTCTCCGATGATAGATGACATTGTATTACTAGCATTATATCCAAAGCTGTTTGTCCCGAAAAAAGGATATCTAATTATAGCTATTAATTCTTTTTTGAAAAGATTTAAAAATTTTAATTTTTTAATCAAAAAATTACTTTTAATTCATTTATTCAAACGTGATTGACATTTGCATGGCTATCGGTATTAACGATAACTTATCATACCACCACATGTAGATAGATGTTTATCGACGAACTATAAAAGAAAATGTTATATACACTTATATCTTTAATATAATTTGTGAAAATTACTTTCAAGATGGTTACTTCGCTGGTAACTACATTATGTACGTAAAATATTAATTACCTTCGTAATTAAAAATTTCGCAATTAAGTAGTCGTAGAAAAAAGATTAAAATTTTGGACTTGCAGTTACACACACACATCCGTGAAAAGATTTTCTTAAAGTTGTATTTCCATAAGGAAAAAAATATTCTCATAAATTCTGCATAAACCTATTCAATCTTATCTTACGATTCTCACAATTAGAGAAATATTTTAAACGGATATCTTTTATTTGTAGTATATCCTTCCTTGTTGACGTCCATTGCGACAAATTTAAACTATACAATTGTCATCGACGATCATGGAATACCAAATCTGATCGATCCGAACGAACCTAAATTTACACAAGTAGATCTCAAAGAGATTGATGAATCCGTGCAAAAGACCATCTTCTATTTGTACACTCGGTAAGTATGTGTTTGAAATATTAGCGCAACATCGTAATTACAAAAAAACATCGCTTCTAAATGAATCTTTTCTTCTCTAAAAACAATCCGGAAATTCGACAGCAGCTAATCATCGACGATATGGATAGTGTAAAGAAGAGTTTTTGGAATCCTAATCATCCCACTCGATTCGTCACTCATGGATGGCACGGAAATTGCGGTGGAGGTTGCACCCAGATTCGAGACGGTATACAATCATTATTAATCTTAATTGCTTGTGGATTCTTTCTTTTTTGGATTCTTAATCTAATTTTCGATAATATTTCAATGGTAAAATTGATTGAGAAATGTTTGACACACAAATAAACGCCTTATTCGGTCAAAGCAGGGTCTTGGTGTATAATATTAATAATAGTATAAATTTTTTCAAATGTAAATTATCCGCACACGGAATAAGGAAGATCCAAGTTCACATATTGCAGCTTCAGCCTAGGATTGTGTTCAAAGAACGACAAATATATACATGTATAATTGGTCAATTTACCAATTACTTTTTTGAGATTGTAAAATTCAAAAAACACAAAATATTATTAAACACCAATACCCACTTTGGTCGAATAATATATTTATTTGTGCTAATAATTCTCTCTCTCTCTCTCTCTCTCCCCTTCAACTTTTAACATTTTTAATTATCGACTTTAATGTTCTTTGATTTCCTGGAATTTCCCAAAATATTCTTATTTCTCTGCTTTTATTTTCAATTTCCGAACTCTTTGAAATATTTTTTTTACACGTTCTTAAAGTTAATTTAAATATTTGATCTTTTTATGTAGGCATGAATTATTTTATTATCTCGAATCTTGATGATTACGTCCATTCTATTATTGCTATCATGTCAATATATTTAGCTTTTCTTAATGTGGGTGATTATAATATCATCCTGTCGATTGGAGGGATCGATTAGACGCAGCCAATCATTCGTACCTGATGTCCGTAAGTGCGCCACTCGTGTTACAACGCATAGCCTTTTTGATAAACTTCCTGGAGATTAATGCAAATCTTGATCCTAATAAAACTATAATAATCGGAAACTCTTTAGGAGCTCATGTCGCGAGTCTCAGCGCTCGTTTCGCGACTAGCAAGATCGCCGAGGTAGTCGGTAAGTCAGCGACAAGTTTTCAATTCTATTTAGTTATCTTGATCCTAAATTGAAATAAATTTCTGATTTACAGCTTTAGATCCTGCAGCACCTTTATTCGAATCCAAGGAACCAGGAGGAAGAGTGGACAAGTCGGACGCGATTCTAGTGATACACACCTGCACGAAATTTGTAGGCATAAAATGAATAAAATCAGCAATCGGTACTTCTGAGTTTTATCCCAATGGCGGCGAAGAGCAACCAGGATGCAGTCCAATCAGATGGATCGGTAAATGAAGTCTTGCTAATATCAGTTAACTTACTGATTCATTAGTTAAACGACTGATTAATCCACAATTTGCAGGCGATGTCGAGGCGATGGGATGTGCGCATTCAAGGTCTGAGATGTATTACATCGAATCCATCACAAATCCCACAGGTTTTCGTGCCGGAGATGTGTTTATGGGAGGACCATCCATCGATCCAAACTGAGTATAGTGTTATTTTGTTTTTCAATGTGGATATTTATCTCTTTTCACACACAAAATCGGTACTATTTTTCCTAATATTTAATTTCTATTTCTTTTAATCAATCAAGAAATATAGGAAACTTTCGTGTTTTCTTTCATATAATCGACACGTTATTTTTCTTTTATCATTTGTCATTTTTAGCGCAAATGGAACGTACACTCTGCAGACTGCCAGATAGCCACCGTTTGAACTTGGATAACAATTGATTGATTATTTGACGCTTAATTTAAATGTGTACATATTTCTTTTTCTTTTTCTTGTTTTATTAAAATTGTTTTTATTGTAAATCTTTATTTACACTAAATCTGTTATTTTACAGGTTTATTCACTCAAAATTGTATATTTCTTTCATTATTTTAATAGCTCGTATTAATAAACGATATTTTAATATTCTTTCAATGTAATAAAATATAAAATAAATGCCAGAAAGTCTATTTTTCCCCAAATCTTTATCTCCATTTTTTACATTCTTTTTTTTCATGATATTGAGTTTTTTAAATAACATTTTGACGTGATTTTGTTTTTATTATTAAAATCTTTTTCTCTCTTCATTCACAAGTAGCAGATTTTAAAATAAGCATTTAAAATAGTATAAAAAGTAGATCTTTTAATACTTATATTGTTAGTAATAACATATTATTAAATATTATTACAAAAACATTATCTAAATATAAAAAAAATAACGCAAGGGATAAAAAACGCTATAAAAAAATATGCACTAAACTTACCGCAACCATATCTTCGATCGCTTGCGTTGATTTGGACCCCAACATAACCATTCCCATAGCAATTCCAGCTGCTTCACCGGTCACGGCGTCATCTTGATATAAATTGAATTTTAATTGTTCATAAACGTCTTGTCTATGCGAGCCCATTGCGGCCAATCCAAGGCCGAGACAGCCACCATGACGAACCATCTTTCGGAACAAGTTTCAAAGGATAAATCGTATAAAATTTAATTATTACACATAGTTAATAAAAGCTCTATTCACATTATTATATACAATTTGACAAATATTTAATTTAATAAAAAATACTCAATTATATATACAGGGTGCCCCAAAAGTTTTTGCCAATCACTTTTGTGTAGAGAGAGCGGACTAAACTGAGTCGAAAAGTCCTCTACTATTTTGCAATTTTCGTAATAGTTAACAAGATATT